ATGTTTAAAACATTAGTCTCATAACATTATTTATGCAAGTGTAGCGGCAGTGTAAATGCATTCCTTGCATCTCCGAGCTGCATTAAACCTACTGTGTAAATACATCTAAATGCCACTTCAGATGCAGCTTCTGTGCCACCTCTGGATTTTGTAGTTACTGATTTCGTTTGATTGGTAACAGCCCTATAGTGTCTCATTATTTGAATTGCATGTATTCAATAAAAGCGGGTGGAACCATAAAAAAAAAGTTAAAAAGCTGCCCTTATAAAATGCTGTCAAATATATTTTTTTAAAATGCCCCAGGAAATCTATTTAAGATGGCAAATGTCACCCCTTAATCGAAAAGTTCATTTCTGTCACTGCTCGTAGTTTTGGGATTATTTTTCAGTTTCTATCCTGGCTTCACTGAATCCTTCTTTTAATAGAAATGGCCACACTAAGAATCAGTAGTTTTCAGGTAAATTGTGATTGTACTATATATTCTATAGCACAAAATAAACAGTGATAAATAATTGCAGTCATTGATTGGTTTTCTTTAAGCACTTTGATATTTCATTGTGAAACCCAGTCAACCCAGTTTTAAAATTAGTCTTCAAGAAAATCTCAGTTCTTAGAATCAAGCCTTTGAAAGGCTTTCAGAGGGGATTATGCGTGCTGCTGTCAATACCGGCCATTAGTCGAGCGCTCGCACACCTCCTCAATGGTGAGTTATTTTAGCTGGATAAACCTGTTATCTGTGGAAGAGTGATGGTTAGAGGTGAGCACATGCGAGTGAGGGTCATCTTCACCGGCGTAAGCTCTGATTGTCATGGTAATGCACAGATCGTGGGGCAATGTGTTCTGCAGCAGAGATTAATCATTCAAATTCAAATATCCAGATCTTATTGAAAGTTTCAACTTGCAGTATGGATCGGGGCTGATGCATATTGCTTTAATGCTGATCTTTATTACCAGTGTTTTGTAAGCTGAACATTTTTAATAGATTCTCTGATGTACAGTGTGGGAAGTGTCACCCTTGACTTTTCCCTGTAACTCTACATGGGTTTTCATATATTTTAAGTGAACCTTTTGATGCATGCTTAATGATTTGTTGCTTTATTAACATTTCTGTTTTTGAGTTCCCAGCATCCCTGCTGCACCCATATGATAAACGGAAACATAGTTTCATAATGTTTTATATTCTCTGTTGTGTGTTGTGTATGTACAGTTTTATCTGACCCTAAATCTTTTTTCTTCCTTCTTTCTCTTCTGTTATTGCTGTACAATAAGGTCGGTAATAATGCGGTGCAATCTCACTGTAAAAATAACACAATGATGCTGCCATCTTTTTTAAAGTCATTTTTCTCTCTTGTAATGTGGCTCTAAAGTGCAGGTAAAAATTGCAATTTTGTGACCACCCTCTAAAAAATAGTGGATTACTCTGTAAATATTCATTCTTTTTCACTTATGTATTTTTTTTTCATCAGGAAAAAAATGACACATTTTTTTTTATATTTTGACAGGGATATATTGACAGGGATATCTGATTGAGTTGATACATTAGGACCCATTTGTATATATAAGTATTTACAAGTGTGTATATTTATTATTTAAATGAACATTATAATTAACACAAATCATTAGCTCTGTATTAATTATCACATTATTTGTGTTTTATAATTACGCATTAGATCTATAAAAAAAAAAAATTATGTTTTATAAACAGTTGACTGAACGGAAAGTTGAGTGTAATGAACGCAGGACATATTTAAGCATGGATGTGGTTCGAAGCAATGCGGTGTGATGTGTTGCAGCCCAGTGGCTAATATTAAAGAGAGTGTAATCGAAACATCATGTGACGTGAGGAAGGTGAGAATTAGTGGTGTGAAACTCTGTCGTGGCATTGCATGGACAGATCTAGGTCAGTATAAAATGAAAAATCTTATCATCCATGGTTTTTCCTCATATTTCCTCTTACCGGCTGTGACTGAAATAGACATGACTCTTCGCCTTCGCTTGCTGCAGTCCTCATAACACAGTCTTCTGCAATAATGCCAATAAAGTATTAAAACATGTTCCATGTTCTTACAGGCAGCCGGAGTCTGATGCCAAACAGATATTGAATGCAGTGAGCCAGCATGTTTATCAAACACTTCAATCTGAAACACTCACATATAATAACAGAGGGGGAGAGCATGCTGTTTTTATCTTTATTGTATAGTGTTTTTCAGTTTGAATACATGTATAGTGTAGAATACATTTCAGTATAGTGTTTTCTGCGTAAAAATAAGGGTCGTTTTTGACTTTGGTCTAAAGTTTAGACTAAACAAAGAGCAGAAGGGCTTATTGAAAAATGCTAATTCATTCTCTGCCAGCAGGTGGCGCTTTTCGACAGGAATATAGCCGTTTCCCCCGTAACTGCAGTAAACAAAGCACCGCAGCACCTGACTTTGAAACTTGCAGTTATCTGCTCGCAGGTGATCGGAGGATATTGTGTTTTCACACAAGTGTTGTTTGATAATGCATTGAGTTTGTGTTCATTGATGCATCAACTTTGATTGTGCTGAAAGCATTCTGTTATGTCTCACCAATGTATGTGTTCATTTGCTTGGGTCTGGAGACCAAGTATGGTGGATGGATGGCCACCAGATTGAGACCCTGTTATGGCCAGCCCATGCAATCTCCAGACCTGAACCCCACTGAAAACCTCTGGGATGTGAGCAAGAGGAAGATGGATGGTCACATATGGGATTACATCTCTGCCACAATTCTGCGCGGGAAAGATCATATTTTGAGCAGGCAAAAGTGCGTTTTGCACGCGCACAAACTGAGTTTTGTGGAGAAAATGTTTGTCTCGCAAAGAAGAAAGTATTTTGAGC